TTAAACCTTCCATTTTATAACATTTGTGTTCAAATAACTTCATGCTGTAGATGTCCAAGCTAAACTCAACAGTTGTCTTTGTGTTTCTTTTGTAGGTGAGAACTGGGTTGCTCATGAATCTTATGGGAGTTCTACTTCTTAGCTTGGCTATGAACACGTGGGCCAAGAGTATCTTCCAGCTGGGGACCTTCCCTGCATGGGCTAACATCCATGCAGAAAATACCACGTCGCTCTTGCCAGCTGTAGAAAATGTCACTTTAAGTGCACTAAATAAAATATGAACAAAGCTACCCCAGGGGAAGGACTCACTCACTTAGGACTCGGGCACTGGAATTGTCAGCCTATGCACAGGAAGAAAGCCACATGGCTGCCCACACCGTATGAGACCCTTGGGTTTAATTTTATTTTTAGAAATACTGGTCAGTGTTGCAACATCTATTGGTTATTTTCTCCGAAGATCCTTTCCCTGCCTTCCACAGGTACCTATCAGATACCCCCAGAGAATTTCATCTGTCCATCATAGGTGGTTGTTACCTGGACAACCCCATAAGCTTCGAGCATCTTTGGGGAGATGCCTCTCCCCACATGAAAGCTAGCGAGCTTTCCTACTCCAGCTTCTGATACCCTTCCTCATTTTGGAGAGCATCTCAGGATGGATTTATGTGCAACCCAATGTGAGTGAGTGTATCAGAATCTGGCCCAGGGAGAAGGCAGAATGGGCTTCTGGCAGGACCGTGGAGGCTGGGGGCTCTTTGTGGTCTCATGAGTAATTCTCTCATGTAGGACCAAGATTATTTCTTCAGGCTTGTGCATGAAAGGATGATTCAGGAGATGTGTCAATAGGATTCGGTGTGTTCCTCCATGCTTTGGAAACAGGAAGGCAACCATTTGTTTCCAAACATGTCCAATGGTTTGAAAACCTGGTTTTCAGCTGCTGTCTGGTTCTTGGCGCTGAGTGCACAGATGGAGGTTTGGGGCCAAATTTGTTTCTGACGTAACCGTGTGGACATCAGTGGTGTTTCAACTTTGGTGAATGTGGCCAGTCTTAGGTTTGTGAGACTGACCCACTTGTGAGAGCCTGCTGAGGTCAGCGGGCAAGCTGCACTGCGGTATCATTGACATTGCTGAGAAGTAGGCTTTGATTCTTAACATCTTTATATTTCTGATTGCTTGGATACTTTCAATGAAAGCATTGCAAATTGACTGTGATTTTAATCACCATTTTATCCTTTTTAAAAAAAAAAATCTCTAAGAATCTAAAAATATTTAAAGATCTGTCATTGACGTAGATGGATGGAAAGATAAAGGATCTGATTCCTGATAGGGGCAGGTTGGTGACTGGATGGATACTGGGCTCTGCTGGCTCCCTTTGATGGTGTGATCTTGTGGAGCTGGCACAATGGGATCCAGTGCACCCCACCTGCTCCTTTGCTGCTCGTAATGCCTGGGGCCAGCTGGGGTCTTAAGGCTGCACTTAGGCAGGGTGTTGGAACTGAACAGAAACCACCAAAACCAACTGAATGTGGAACTTTGATCAGTCATGTTCCGGAAAAAAAAAATCCTTAATGTTCAACAAAATCCTTACATCTAACAAAATCCTTAATGATCGTGGAAAATGTACAATAAAGCACATTTGTTAGCACATCCCTTCGTCCTGTTTGCTCTGTAGAGCTGAGCCTTCTTCTCCCCTGCTCAACCCCACGGCTTTGGATTTGTCCCCTGGAGGAGCAGCAGAGCTCCCTGCCAGCCTCCATGACTCGGGCACTCTGCATTGCTGGCCCATTGCTATGCTAAAATTCACTGAAAGAAGTTTTCTATTTTTACGGTAAGTCAACCTGGTTGTTGTTGAGGGTTCTGTGATAAGACCAGAGATATGAAAAATCCTGGGAGAGAGCTTTTCTAATGCTGTATCAACCTTCTGTAACTTAAGCCCTGTTGTTTCAGAGGGCCTTTTCCTGCACACCATTTCTGTAAGAATGTCAACATTCAACAGCCGCCACCAAAGCCATTCACATTAGCAGCCTGCCTGTGAATTTTAATTAAACAGGAAATGCCTCACTTGTGCATTGAAATTCAACATCCAGAATATCTCTGCTTCGCTCCTTTGATGTTCCCCATCCGAGCCGGGATGAACATCCACATGTTCTCCTGAGACACTCGGAGGAAACTCGTTCTGGTTTATTTACAGTAGGGAAGTGTTATGTAGTGCCTTTTATCCCAGAAGCATTTGAGTCGCTTTGTGAACTGTTCACACAGAGGTCCTCCTCAGGGCCCCGCAGCGGTGAGGGGGCCATGCAGAGCCAGCTGCCATCATAGAATTGCAGCATCTCTGAGGCTGGAAAACACCTCTAAGATCACCTAGCTCAACCACCTACCTACTACCAATAGTGCCCACTGACTGTGTCCCTCAGTGCTACACGTCCCTTTCCTTAACACCTCCAGGGATGGTGACTCCCCCACTCCCCAGGCAGCCTGTGCCAATGCATCACCACTCTTTCAGAGAAGAAATTCCAACGTGATGCACGATTTTCACGTCTGAAAACATCCCATTTCTCCTCCACTTTCTCTGTTCTCCAAAAAAAAGTCACCCATCTGCAGACATCCATCGTTTATGAGCTCAGATGCACGCCGACAAAAGCAGCGGAGCAGTCTGACCGCCAGGTGTCACCGTTGCTTCGCAGAGATGCTGGATCCTGCCTTGTCCTGCGCCCAGCCTGTGGGTAAACGCACGTACTTCCTCACTTGCATATATATTTATTTTATTTGTTCGGTTGGTTTTGTTTTGCTTTTATACAAAGCAAGCCTGTTCATTGTGTCCTGAGAAACATCAGGCAGTGAAAATGGCTCGCTGACAAACTATCAGCACAGGGGATGTATCTTTTTACCCCCACCCATATAGTCCAGCATATAGGGAACACTGTGGAGACTTGGGAGGCGTTCCAGCCAGGTTTGGCCGTACTTAAAACTACTCGGAGCTGCCCAGAACTACCGCTCAAATGCAGCATCCCCACAGACCACAGCTCCCCTCTGCAGCAGACTCAGTGAACACATTGCTCTGCTCCTTATGCTTGTTAATTTTTTGTGTATGTATTTGTTTTCTTAATGGTCTGTGATTTCTTTTTCGGTTCTTAATGGTCTATTGATATTTTCTTCCCACCCCAGAAAGCTACCCGCTCAACCTGGATGGGGTCCCAAGTGCTATAATCAGCCAGCTCTGGGGTACAGTCAGAAGGATGAGTCTTGGGACAGCCGCTATGAACTGATGAGTTTTGCCTTTTGGCACATTCCTTTATAAACTACAAAGTGATATCACCACCTAAATCATGGCCAGTGCAAGCAATTGCTGTTGATGCTCCAAACTAAAGCACTTTTCCCGGTGCCTGCCTCTTGATAAGACAAAGGGAGCTGGAGGAGAGATTTAGATTGGGTGTAAGAAAAAGCTCTTCACAATAAGAGCAGTGATGCACTGGTACAGCTTGCCCAGAGAGGCAGTGGATGCCGTGGAGACATCCAAGGTCAGGTTGAACAGGGCTCTGAGCTCCTGATGGAGCTGTGGGTGTCCCTGTGCATTGCGGGGGGGGTTTGACCAGATGGCCTTTGAGGGTCTCTTCCAGCTCAAACCATTCAATCCTTCTCTTGAAGGCTGGAGCCACTCAGAGTACCTCACTCAGCTCTCTGCACAGGTCCCTGGGCACTGTGAACACCTCAGCTGTGCCATGCAGGAAGGGATGAAGGAACAGACAGAGATAGGCTCACGCTCAGCTTTGCTCATCCTCCACTGTCCACACCACTGTGGGGACAGGCCACATCCCTGGGGAAGGAGCTGTGTCCCAGCTGAGCCCCAGCCCTTCGCCCTCTCTCGCTGTAGGGAGCATGGGAACTGGCTGGGAGCCCCATGTTCCCACCAGCAGGAGGGCTGGAGGCAGCAGCATCACTTGGGGAGGCCCCAGTGCAGGTTTGGTGGATCCAGGGAAGGCTGCTTGACCTTCCCTGTGCTCTGTGAATGGAGGAAGGCAGGATTTGTGCACAGTTCTTGTAGACAGTATCTTGGCTTTCCTGGCAGGAGGAGGGAGACACATCTTCCCCCCTCTTATCTGGAAACATGTCTTGGAGCAGCCATCGTGTCTGGTCCTTACCTGAGGTTCGGAGGCTGGAGTTTCAGGAATCCCAGCCTGCTGCAGGATTCTTTATGGTGGATTTGTTGGCCATAGGGAACTGGGAAAAGTGCAGGTCTTCCTTTGCAAGAACCACAAGATACCCAGATCCAATTGTGCATGGCCACAGCCCCAGAAGATGCTCATTTACAGCTCCAACGTGAGGCTGCTGGTCTCAGCAAAAAACTCGAGTCAAGCTTCCTAAATGCAAACCTCTTTGAGTTACGTAGAATGAAGCAGCCCAGATTCCACCTAGGAAGGGGTAGAGAAGGGAGAGTTGTTGGGCAGTCGCCCTTTAAGCCCAGGACATGAGTTCACAGTTTCAGCAGAGAGATGCAGCCTGCCAGAACTGATCAACAATGACCAGAGCATTTGTTGGAGCCTTCCAGGCCCAGAAGTGCCTTTGGACCATGACTGATGCCTGCCAGAGGAAAGCCCCCTTCTCTCTAAGTGCTCAGCATACTGCTGGGATGAGACAGCTGATTTCCCAATTCAAGACAGTGACACCCCATCTCCCACGTGATCCTTGTTCCCCCCAGTCTTTCCATATAGTACTGACTCATTCCATATGGAGCTGACTCATTTCTCTCAGCAGCGTGTCATCGCACCAAGCCTCTGCACCTTCAGCAAGATCCAAGGGAGTCTGACAGCAGGGTTGCTCCTGGGCTCCACATACCAGCTTTGTCCACTCACAACAGGAATCTACAGCATCTGTTGACCCAAATTGCCTTATGAAGCCCATTTTTTGAGTCTTGGCTGCCTGGTGCTGACAGCTTTGGTGTCTTCCTTTGGGTGTCCCAGCAGCTGCCTCCAGCATCCACAGTGGGAGTAACAGGGCACCAGAACATGGGGAGCCTACAGACAGGACTGGGACACATCTCGTCATCCAGGTATGTAACACCTGCTTCAGACCTTTTGTCCCAATAGCTTTGAGCTGCCTATCCACTGGCAAACCTCTGGTAAACCTCTGGTAAATGGATTAGCTGGGCACAATTCTCACTCTGGGGTTACTGCTGCTGCTGCCAGGCTAGGACAGAGGGGCTCTCCTGGCTAGTTTCATTCTGGGGACAAGACTGAAATCTGTAGTGGGATAATCCTTCTCTCTGCCAGGTTTTCTGCTCTCTGGAGAGTCATTCCACATCAGAGGCCTGAGAAATAGTACTTCTTCCCAAACATTTGTTTCCATTAGGCATTTAAATAGCTCCCTGGGACATTTCATCCTGCCTGCAGTAGCCAGATTCTTAACCTTGGAGATTTCCTCTGGCACTACAGCATCTGTGTGAAACAGTGTTTTCTCTGATCAGTTCTGTATTTGTCACCCATAGATTTGCTGAGTCTCCTATTTGGATTTTGGTCTCCTATTAAGAAGCAGGGAGGCAAAAGCTCATGCTCCAGCTCCTCTGATCCATTAAGCACCTTAATTACTGAGCTAACTAACAATTTCCAGAGCAGCTGGGAGTCCTTTCTTCCCTTCTCCTCTTCTAAGTAGCCACCAAACCTACTCTTAAACACAGCTAAAGAGTTCTCTGAATGACTTATTTTTTACAGAGTAATATAATGCTTTTCTCTACTGATATTAGAGGAGGAGGAGTTGCTTATAACTGGTATTTGATCATTCATAGAATCATGGAATCATTGATGTTGGAAAAGACCTCAGATCCCCAAGACCAACCCCAGCCCACCCCACCATGCCCACTAGCTATGTCCTTCAGTGCCACATCTCCACATTTCTTGAACACCTCCTGGGACAGTGACCCCACCACCTCCCTGGGCAGCTGTGCCAGTGCATCAACACTCTTTCAGAGAATAAGTGTTTCCTGATATTGAACCTGAACCTCCCCTCATGCAGCTTAGAGCCACCGCCTCTTATCCTGTTGCTATTACTGGGGAGCAGAGGCTGCCCCTCACCTGGCCACAGCCTCCTTACAGGGAGTTGTAGACAGCGATTTCAACAAATGCTATGAACTTTCATGGCCTGCATGGTTGCAGGGAAGACCCCAGTGCCAGCAACTCAGGTATCAGAGAGGCAAAGAGCGAGACCAGAGAGGGATGTTACAAATTCCCCAAACTAGTGCATTTCTGTATTTCCCTTACTAACACTTCGGTGCTTATTCTTTGCACAGATTGCCTGACAATGCCTGTTGTGAAGACTCCCTGTTCCCAAAGTTGCAGAGGATCGTGACAGAGCAATGGTGCATATACTCCAAACCAGTCCCAGCAGGCAGCCGGGAGCTGTGGGCCCTATTTCTGCAGTGCTCCTGCATCACTGTGCTGCTTGGAGGCCTCTTCTACAACTGGCTCCTCGCGTCCCTGGAGTACCCCCAGCACATCTCCATCGCGATGGCCGTCACCTTCAGCCTGCTCCTCCTCCTTGCCCTGTTCTTGCTGCACCCTGTGCGCTGTGCCTTCAGCATCACCATGCCGACGCTGGGCACCAAGCAGGGCCGGAAGCTCCTCTTGTCAGCCTGCATCATGATAGCAGTGGTTAACATCACCCCCAACATCATCAGCAACATCAAGACCTTACTGCAGGTCATCCTGTGCATCTGCAAGAATTCCTCTGAGAGCCTTTTGAACTCCACTGATCTGCTGGAGAATGCTTCCTGGAAGCTGGGGGATGAAATCCAAAATTATGCTATTTTGAAGCCCATGGATGGACATTTTCAGTTTTCACTGGTGAAGAACAACTCCTGGATTAACCAGGTGCACCTCGCTGGTGAGAAAGCCAGGAAGGATTTTTTGGCAGTCGAGGTGCTGGTCAAAGATTGTGTGCGAGCAGGCAACAAACTGGTCGCCGCCTTCTCTGTGCTCTACCTCTGCTTTGAGTCCGTCTGGTACTTGAAGAATTACCTCACCAACCTTCGCTTCGACAATATTTACATCACCACGAAGCTGCAGCGTTTGGCTGAGGACGGAGGAGCCTCCCACATGTTGGTGGGCTCAGCCCAACGCCTCATCCGCCCCACGGGCCTCAGGCTGTCCCGCGAGGAGCTGATGCTGTGCCTGGCGCAGGCGCTGCGCCTGTCGGTGGCCCTGCTGCTGGTGCTGGTGGTGGTGGCCTTGGAGCACCTCATCTTTGGCGTAGCGGATGTGGCAGTGAGGAGGATGGCTCAGCTGTCCACAGTGCCCGTCACACTCAGCATCAAATACCAGGTGAGTGCTGCTCGGGGCACAAAGATGGGTTGGCTTCTCTAATGCAGTGCCCTGGGCTGAGATGCTGCTCAGTGTGCAGGAGATCCTTGGGGAAAGCCCTGCCTGCTGCCTTTGTGTCACCCAGTATCCTGTTTCACAAAACTCCCCAGTTTCAATCTGTTTTAATATCCTCTTAAATCCAGCTGGCAACCAGTCATGAGTGGGGTTCCCCAGGGGCTGGGATTGGAGCCCTGTTTAATATCTCTATTGATAATCTGGATGAGAGAATTGAGTGTACCTTCAGTAAAGAAGTGCAGGTGGCAACGAGGTGGGAGGAAATGGGACCTGAAGGCCCCACAGAGGGACCTGGGCAGGCTGATCCCTGGGCTGAGGCCAATGGGATGAAGTTCATCAAGACCAAGTATTGGGTCCTGCAGCCCCACACATTGCTACAGGCTTGGGGCAGGAAAACTGTGTGGAAGAAATGGACCTGGGGGTGTTGGTCAACACTCGGCTGAACGTGAGCCAGCAGTGTGAGCCAGCAGACCAACAGCATCCTGGTGTGTGTCAGCACAGCGCAGCCAGCGGGACAGGAGGTGATCATCCCTGTGCTCAGCTCTCATGGGGCCGCACCTCGAGTGCTGTGCTCAGCTGTGGGCCCCTCACTGCCACGCAGACATCGCGGCCTGCAGCGTGTCCAGAGAGGGGCAGCGGGGCTGCGAGGGGTCTGAGCACAGTGGGGACTTATGGGGAGCAGCTGGGGGAACTGGGATGGTTCAGTCTGGAGAAGAGGAGGCTCAGGGGAGACCTTATTTCTGTCTGCAGCTCCCTGAAGGAGGTTGTATGAGGGGGGGGTCGGCCTCTGCTCCCCAGTAACTGTGATAGAAGGAGAGGTGATGGCTTTAAGTTGTGCAAGGAGAGGTTGGAAATAAGGAAGAATTTATTCTCAGAAAGAGAGGTGATGCAGTGGCACGGACTGCCCAGGGAAGTGGTGGGGTCACCATGCCTGGGATGTTCAAGAGCCACGACACCTGCCTGAAGTATATTTGTGCTTCAGTATCCTAATCTAGCACACCCAACCAAGCTGTACCAGCAATCACACACCTCCAGGCTCATACCTCATTTAACCTCTTACTCTCTTTATTTCAGGCTGGAATAGACTTCCTGAAAATCTCACTTCCTGTGAAGGACGTTGATAGGAGCTACCACCACTCCCTGACCTTCAGCTCTGCCGGCTGCAGGATCAGCCCCCCAGTACCTCCCAACCCCTCCGTGCTGCTGGTTGTAGGACTGCTCTTCTGCATCATCTATGCCACCGTGTTTCTGGAAACCTATGCACGCCGCCTGTGCAGGAAAATTGCTGCTTCCTTCTTTGAGAGCCGGGAGGACGAGCGGGCACGTTACCTCTATGGCAAGCTGTCCCGGCAGCACAGGCAGACAACACAGCTGAGAAATGAAGGATAATTTTGGGCATGCAGGGAATGACAAAGAGCTTGTGGCAATAACTGGATATGCAAAGGAATCACAGAATTCACTCTCCAGAGTCAGAGAAGTGGTTGGAGTCTGGGAGCAATATTTGCCAAATAAAGAGAGAAAAAGGCCAGAAATGGTATTTTGCACAAATCTGAGAAAAAATGAGCTACATTCACTTTCTTTTCTTAATTCAATCTAGAACTCATCCAGGAATGCTGGAAAAAGGAACCCAAGATAGTTCCTATGATTGTGAGGGTGTTGGCAGCATTAAGCAAGGCTAAGTGTGCGTGGGAGATGTGTGGAGGAAGTGCTCCTTCACCTCCCCCATCACTGCTGGAGGAAGTCACTGCTTCATCGATTCATATAATCTTTAGGTTGGAAAGAAAAGACCTATGAGATCATCTCATCCAACCACTTCCTTTCTCCTTGAAGTGATCCCTACAGGAAGCAAGCAAAAAAAACCCCAAAGCATTAGAGTTGATTAAAAATCTATAGAATCACAGAATCATTAAGGTTGGAAAGACGACAACGACCATCCAGTCCAACCATCAGCCCATGCCTGTGACTGCCCTAGACCATGTCACTCAGTGCCACATCTACACTTCTCTTGAAAATCTCCAGGAGCATTAATTAATTTATTATTATTTACTTATTATTTAGAATATGTATCATTTATGATATAAAGTGTTGTTTTAACCTGCTGAAATAAATTAAAGACCGTATGACCACGAGAAGCACCTCCTGGGCATGGGAGGGAGTAGGAATCAGTGCGTGAGGACTTGCTGAAATCTCTTCACTGGGGCTCTCCAGAATAATAGATAGAGCAGCTGGAGGACTACAGAAGAGGAGGAGGGCAGCCAAGAAAAGGTCAGCTCAGGCCAATATCCAGGAGGATATAGAAGTGGTGGAGTGAAACCTGACATTGGAGCCAGAGCTCTGCAGGGGGCAGAACGGGGCAGGACGTGGAAGGGTGGGCTTTGCTAAAGCAATAGCTAGTTTTATGTGTTGGGTTACTTCAAACTCAGAAATGGTGATATTGTAACTAATATGCAAAAATCCATCATTGAAGCATATCTTTTGAAAGAGACAGATCAGAACCTGGATAAGGACAAGAGCCAGGAGGAGAGGGAGCTAAACCAGTGCCAGCTTCAAAACAAAGCAACTTTGCAGCTTCATTTCTTCAAAGCACATCTATTATTTCCCTCTCTTTTTCCATTAGAGTCTTCATTAAGATAATTATTTGGTATAATGCACCTCAAAGAGATTAAATTACAGAAGTGAAGTGGCAGCTGCAGATGTACAAAGATCTATCAGCTTCTGAGAAGCTTGAAACAAAGTAGATCTGGAATATTTTTTGAGCATCAATCTAACAAAACCCCGGTATATTTATCTCCCCAGGTTTCTTAATTCCCTGCTGTTAAGGTGATTAATACTAGCACCTTTCCCCCTCTGTAGCAGCTAGGCTGCTTTGCCATAGAATTATAGAATTGTTGAGGTTGGAAAGACCTCTGATGTCACCAAGTCCAGCCCCAACCCATCCCACTGTGCCCACCGACCACGGTGCCACATCCCCACAATTCTTGAACACCTCCAGGGATGGTGACCTCACCTCCTCCTTGGGCAGCTGTGCCATATCGTGTGGTTTCTGCAGCTAATACTCTGTGATGTTCTGTTAGGGGAAAGCAAAAAGATTCCCATTTGCCATTTGAGAAGCCAAAATTACCTGGGGTCAGGGGTTAAGGAGCTATGAGGAGAGCAGGGAAACCCTACAGCCACAAACCATTCCAGAAGCACAGTGCCTTCCAATGAGCACATCTAAAACAGCTTTCCTTGAAAGACTCATCTTGGCAAGAGATGTATAGCAATCTTTTAATGCCCTTTAAAAAACTGTTAAAATGTTGGCATTTTGGGAATCCTGTGTCCAGGGCCTGTCCCACCTGTCAATCCATGGAGCAGTGAGGAGCCCTGTTGCGGATGCAGAAGGTGATACGGGGAGATATCGGGTGATGTGGGGGGAGATATGGGGGAGATGAGGCTGGAAGAGTCAGGGCAGTGTTGGGTCATCCCCATGGCTTTGCTCAGAGATGGGTCCCCCAGGTTCAGAGGAGTCGGAGCAGAGAAGACCACAGATCTGGACTAAGAGCACTGAGTCCCACTGCATCCTTCACACTGGCAGTGCCCCACTCCCAAGGTATTTGAGCAGCGTGGGAGGAGCTTCTGAGACATCCATTTTCAACCTGAAAATTCCTCTTTGCTAGGACAAGCTAACCTCAGTCCAGAGTGATTCTCTTTTCCAGTTTCCTTCAGCTCCTCCTAAATTTTAACTACTAAAGATTGATTCTGGAAAGTTTGTACTTTTAAACACCAAAGTTCAGCATCAAAGAAGCCTTGATTAGGGTAATTGCATCAGCTTGAAAGGATAATGATTAGTGTCAGGTACTGCCATTCTGCTTATGCCTCCATCATCACAGCTGTCATAAACCTGTGCCTAAAGCAATGTGCTGCCATTGCCATTTTGCAGGTGGGTCTTCAGGGATGAAAAAGAGTTTTGTATGAATTTTTTGCACACACGACACCAGTTTCTGTGGTTTCAGTGACGAGAGAAAGGGAAGAGTTTGGGCTCTGTAGAAACATTGGGCTCTGTAGAAACATTGGTGATCAGCGAGTTCTGACGTGGCAATGCTGGGGTTGGTTCATGAGGGAGGAAGCAATAAATGTTACACCATGGACAGTCATGAATTGTCGTCACATTGGTGTCAGAAGGGTTTTTATTGAATGTAGGAAGGAAAGTCATGATGATACCTGTTATCTATCATTCACTGCTGCAGGTGAAGGAGAGCCTTAACTACCTTGAGGAAGGGTCAGGTATTTTCAACTCCCCCATCAGTTGTTAATGCCAATACCAGCCCAGATCCGTGCTGATGCCAGACTAGGATATGTTCCTTTGTTTTCTCCCTTGCACTTGTGGAGGTTTGGAATTTCTTTCTAACCTACATAAAAGTGTTAATTACACATAGAAAGGCCCATGGATTGCTCTTTCCTCCACCAGCTCAGTTGCAGCAGGGGGTTGGGAGGTCCTCAGACATGGGACAGGGTGTGCCCTGAAGCCCCTGGTTACCCTTGGGTTTTGTGGTGAATTTTTGTGGATTTTTCACCCTGCACAAGTGCAAGTGTAAGTAAAATACATGCTACATTTCTGCTTATGGCTGGCTCTCCAGGAGGATGAATGGCCTTAATATGCTGAGGAGCAAATGTAAACTGTTCAATTAAGGCAGTATACTGGGAAAGATTTCACTCAGAGCCACCAATCTACATCCACCAGAGCAGAGAATCATTCAACCACCTCTCTCCAGAAATATTTCCTGATTTTTAATCAAGCTCCGTTTATATCCTATCTACAGCATTTGTGCAGTAAATGAACCGAAGAAGTAATGGTTATATACCCCAAGATTTAGAAAAGGGAACATGAATAAACATAAAGGCAAATGAAATCTATTCCATAGTATGGTGCATGGCTGGACAGCCATAGAAATCCTTGTGTTCTGGCTCTGCTCCCCTCCCACCCTGCACAGGGTGGTCCTCGACTACCAGGACCAGTAGCCAATGACCAGGCACAGCATCTGGTGCTCCTGCAGTGATCCCAGCTGCTGTCTGTGAGTAACAGTCAGATGCACGGTGAATTGGGAAATTTCAGAAAACCATTCTTTTGGGCAAGAGCCTTTAGAGATTTTTTTTTTTTTTCCTGAAGAGGAACCAAAATGTACTGAAATGAGCTGAAGATATGAGACAGCAGCAGAGATTCCACAAGTGATTTGCAGTGTACCACAGTTTTCCTTATTTTGGTTCTTTCTCACTGAAGACTGTGTGATGTTTCACTCTGACTCAGTGCTTCATATTTCACAACTGTGAATTTCCATATTAGTGCTTCATAACAAGCCTTCAGCCCACAGAAACAGAAGAAAAGGAGGAAAAAGCAGTAGCAGTCACTCCAGACAAATGCTCACAGCCATGACAGCCCAGGGGTTGCTCACACTCTTTGTAGGTTTCTTTGCAGATAACCAACAGAGGAAATGAAGTCACTGCCAGGGATGATTTCAGTGTGCAAATGGAGTGTGGAAAAAGTATCACATTTGCATATGTTTTCTAGTTGTAGGCTGCCCCAATCTTCAATTATTCCCCCCAGTTGGAATAGGTGGCAAGGTGCACTTCTGTGTCCACGGAAGCCCCACAGTCCTGCAAATGGTGCTGGGAGTAAAACTAACTTCCCTGTTGTCATCTAGGGAAACACTGCTGCCATGTGACCGCAATGCACAGAGCTGGGGTCAGTGTTGTGCGTGGTGACGCTGCTGCAATGGTTTGGGTTTATGGTCGTGGATTGGGTTCTGGCCATGGATTTGGTCTGGGGCCATGGATTGGGCTTTGAAGACCTCTGCAGCCTAAAATTCCATAATCCAGCCCCAAACCCTTCCATTTATGACCTTTTCATGCTGCATCTTTTCTACTTTCACATCACTGAGTGCTGGTACAGCCTCAGCGGCCCAGCTGTAATAGTAGAAGTTTTATGGGTGTAATATGTACAGATTGTGAAGCACCAGAGAACGGAGAGGTGTTTTTCACAAAGGTGGCTGAGAGGATCATTTTTTTCCCAGCAGTGTCTACAAAATATGCTAAATCTTAAAGGTCTCTCTGTGTATAGGACCAGATGAGCCCACAGCAGCCAAAGGAAAAGCGTGAGATTCACAATTGTAGAAAGGCCAAGGTGGGTGGAAGCCACAGTGGGGTCAGGGAGCAACTTCAGAGAGGGATAATGTATGGCAGCTCTGCTAAAAGCACCGCACAGAGCAACCAGGATGCTGCAGTCAGAGCAGCCAGGCTGTGTTCCTGACAGAGGAGGACAGTGTTGACTGATGAGTGTGGCAGTACCTTTTGTCTGACAGCTCCCAGGCATCACAGGAAGGTGTGTGATGGACACCATCAGATTGGCTGCAGCAGTGAGTGGTATCTGTGGGTGAAGAGCTGCTGCATGAGCTGCATCCTGCCTTTCTGTACACCTCATACCAGCTCAGTAGGGGAATGCAGCATAAACGGTG